GCCCCATGGATCATGGAGGTACGAGTGACCTCTATGACTAAGCCAATGCGGCGCTCAGGAACCCCATTCTGCTGCAGAGAGGCCGGAAGCGTGAACGTCTGGCAAATGCCCTCCCCACAACAAAAGCCCTGGAAGAGGTTGGAGGAAAACTCACCACCTCTGTCAGAGTGAAGACGCAGGACAGGAAGGTCCGTCTTGAATCGCTTGCGGAGCTGGAGAAGAACAGCGCGGATCCAAGAGAACAGAACATCAGGGACCTTGCCGTTGCGGTGCAAGGGGAAGACCGTGGTGTAATGCGTGTAGTCGTCGACAACCAGCAGAAAGTACCGCTTGTGGCCCTGTCCACGGACGCGGCCTGGGCCCCACACGTCCATGTGGAGAGTCTTCAGGGGAGCCTCTGTCGGGGGGGACGAGGAGGAGTGAGGAGCGGCGCGCTGCCACCCCTCGACACAGGGAAGACAGGGAGGGGTAGTCGAGGGTGGGAGGGGAGGCAGAGACCTGGGAAGACCGGAGACAAGGAGACGGGAGTGCATGCCACGGAGGTGTGCCACGGAGGGGTGACCAAGGCGTCTGGTGCGACAGGGCGCGACATGAGCTGGGGGGCGCAAGCTGACCTAACGCAGACGAAGCTACCTGAGGAGGCGCATTATTCAGTGTGTACAGACTCGACCCAGGTCGACGGGTGAACGTGGCCAGGCACCTGCCAGTCCGGGAGCACGTACAGATCGCCACACACTGTCCTCCAGGGGTGAAAGTATCGACCCACTATTCCTGAAGGACTGCGTTGCTCACCAAGTTTGCAGAGAACGAGGGGAGGTGGAGACCTGACTGTGAGCCAGACGGAACCGCTGGACAAGGCAGAACAGTGGAGGAACGTGCAAGGACTGGGCCCCCAGAGGGGTCAGCTAGAAAGACTGCAACAGGTGCAAAGAGTGGTGTGACTGTGGTACTGTCACGAAAGAAACAGTGTGAAGCACCTGAGTCAAGCGTGAAGGTGTGCAAGGCCGAAGTAGACGCAGTGCCAGAGAGAGCTGACTCACCAGCACCTAGAGCAGCAGACTCACTAGCACCTAGAGCAGCAGCCTCTATACATGGGTCTGGCAGCATACACAGGTAACAGTCACCCTCTGCACTAACTGTCAATGCATACATGGCAGATAGTATAGCATCATAATCAAGAGCTAAGATGTTTACACCCTGCTTAAGTAGCTCTGCCCAGCGGGGGAGCTCAGCCGCGTTTGGAAACTCCGTGCGGAAGGCATCGGTAAGACGAGAGAAGCAGCGGTACTGTGTGTGGAGCTTCCCATATGTCTGGTTAGTGCGGTCACGTGTGCGAATGACATATGGGCAGGGACCACTACCCCCAGCCGCCCCACGCTGAGCAAACCATTCACGTAGCTCCTGGGGCGAAAGTTGACGCTGCTGCTGCCTCTGACCCCCGCCCAAGCCTCCCCTCTAACTCGTACCACCCCGGCCGCCACCACTGCCACCGCCTCCACTCCCACTGCCGCCACCACTGCCGCCGCCACTACCGCCTCTGCTGCCACCACTGCCGCCACCTACACCTCCACCCCCACCACCACTCCCTCCGCCACTGCCGCCCCCTCCACCGCCTCCCCTACCCACACCACCACCTCCACCTCTGCCGCCCCCATCGCCCCTGCCTCCCCTGCCCCTGTCGCTGCGGCACCTCCCACTAGGGGCAGACGTAGCTCCTACCTCCTTAGCACGAAGGTAGTCAACAGCTGCAGCAGAGGCGACTGAGGGGAGAAGGGGGGAGGGCGAACACCCCAAAAAGAAGGGGGTGTGAGGAGTGCCACGAGAAGCGCCTACAGCGACTATGCAAGTCTCGGCTGCAAGGAGGTGCTTCTTGAGCAGGTCGACAGTGAGGGTGGTGGGGTCAACGGCTAGAAGGAGGTCTCTGACAGTGCTATGAGAGTCAGGGAGGCGGGTGACTATGAAGTAGAGAGTGATGTACACGGGAGGAGGGTTCTTTGTGAGAAACTCGGCGGGAAGCGCAGCGCGGTAGCGAGTGTCACTAGTACGAAGGTGAGTGACGAGGTCGGCTACTGTGGCAAAGGCGGACAGCTCTGGGAACAGGTAGGGCAGGAGAAGGCGGCCTAGAGCAGCAGTGGCCGGGGAGGAGTAACGAGCGACTATAGCGTCGTACAGTGCTTTCGCAGTCTTATGCTGTCCGAAGTGAGCACGTTTGGCTAACGGCAAGTGGTTGCGAACAACTAAGCGAGTAGCAGCGTCATGAGTAAGCCACTGTGAGTGAGTCGTACTGTCAGCTGTGGCGGCAGGGGCGAGAGAGGCGCCAGCCGTGAGGTCAAACAGTGAGACTCCGTCCTTGGAATCGCTCAGTAAGAACAGCTGTAGGTCGTCGAGCCACGCATCGAACTCTATCGGGAGGCCCTCCGGATCGAACGTGAGGACAATGAGCGTGGCCATAGTGGGCAGGGCGGACGGGCGCGCTAGCAGCAGAGCAGCATGCAGGCAGGGCAAAGCAGGGCGGTGGCCAGCAGGGCGACTCTCAGAGCAGTAGCGGGGAGTAGGGCAGGGCGGCAGTCAGTAGGGTAGGGTGGCGCGGCTGTTAGCGGCGCTCAGGCAGGGCGGTGCGGCCAGCAAGGGCAGGGCGGCGCGGCCAGCAGGGCAGTGCAGTGCAGGGCGGCCCGCAGGGCAGTGACCAGCAGGGCAGTACAGGCCAGCAGGGCAGTGCAGGGCGGCGCTTAGTAGGGCAGGGCGGCGCGGGCCAGCACTGCAGGGTAGAGCAGGCCAGTAGTGCAGGCCAGCAGTGTAGGGACCAGCAGGGCAGTGCAGGCCAGCAGGACAGTGCAGGGCGGCACTCAGTAGGGCAGGGCAACGCGGGCCAGCAGTGCAGGGCAGTGCAGGCCAATAGTGCGGGCCAGCAGTGCAGGGCAGTGCAGGCCAATAGTGCGGGCCAGCAATGCAGGGCAGTGCAGGCCAGCAGGGCAGTGCAGGGCGGTGCAGGCCAGCAGGGCAGTGCAGGGCGCCACTCAGTAGGGCAAGGTGACGCGGCCAGTGCTTACACGTGCAGGCAGGGCAGGGCAGTCGCGCTTGCTGGCACTACACTGTGCAGTGCAATGACAGGAGTGCAGTAGATGTAGGGCAGTTGCAGCAGTAGGGCAGTAGGGACAGCGGGCCGGCGAGGTGTAGGGCCAGTGCAAGTGCACGCGCGGCAGGGCAGGTGCGCACGGGCCTGGCGCGGGCTGTACAAACTACGTGCGGGCCTAGCGTGGGCTGTACTAGCTGCGCGCGGGCCTGGCGCGGGCCGTGCGGGCTGCGTGCTAGTCGTGCGCAGGGTGTACGCGGGCGGCGCGCAGGCTGTATGGGCTGCGCGAGGGCGGCGTGTGGGCTGTATGGGCTACGCACGGGCGGTTCGCGGGCTAAACGGGCCTGGCGCGGGCTGTACGGTCCACGCTCGTGCAGTTCGCAGGCTAAACGGGCCGGGCGCGGGCTGTACGGTCTATGCTCGGACGGTTCGCAGGCTAAACGGGCAGATTTTGGGCAGGAAAAAAGCTAAACGGTGGGCCCTCTAAAAAAAAAAGGTCCTTAGGAAGACAAAACTGAAGATATTATTTATGTCATTAATCTGAAGTGTTCATGACCAAAGCTATATGAGAAGAATTGAATGATGCCAGAAACACTCAGATGACATTATTGCAATCTTGAAATCGCCAACACAACAGATTCTATCGACACCTAGAGCCAATGGAACTCCAGCACACTATTCCTACAAGGTTCCCGAAGTTGATATTGGCCCCGAACCTGCAAACCTAGTCACTCGAGGTTGAGATTTCCGAAGCTGAGGTCCTAGCTGCCCAAGCAGATTCGAGTTTTCCCAAGCTGCGTACCCTGGGCTGCGTTCTGCTGGCGCATTATTATGCGCGCACGACGCACGAGTTGTGCGCTCGGAGGCTTCTGCGCAGGAGAGTACCCCCAAAACTAGCACGAAGTTATGACCCAGGCGCGAGGTATCTGCGGGGCAGGTGCCAGGGTGTTTACGTGGGGCAGGCCCAAAATATTTGACAGCAACAGCGCTGACCTTTTTTGGTACACAACGAATGGCTACAAACGAACACCCAATCGTCAGGCACCTCAAAATCCAATTTGTGCACCCGATTGGGTGACAACCGTTGGGTTGAAAATTAGCCGAAGTCGTACTTTTCCCGGGCGTTTTCAGCTGCCCCGCACAGCTTGTGCGCCCCTTTAACGCTGGGAGACGAGCAGATGGGACTCGCACAGGCTGTGCGGGAGGTTTGCCTGTGAACGCAAGGTCCTAGAATTCTCCGAGCGCGTTGGCAGTACAGCGTTTTTGCGCACGCACGAGTAATGCGCGCACAACCTCCGGCCCCAAGCCTTGTTGCGCAAGTTCCTTGTATATTCTCCGTTAGGTTCGCGCACAGGCTATGCGCCAACAGAACGCGCCCCTGGTTTCTGCTCGACGCGATGCGTCGAAAGCATCTTTCCCCACTTAGATCGAACTGTTACTTCAATCCTACTTTCTGAAACCCTACTATTCGGAACCCCCCATTTTTGGGATGGGGTAGACCCGACCTGCGTTCAAGATCAGGAAATGAGAGCTGAGAGGGCAGAACAGTGTTGCACTAGATAGTGGCTCGATAGCAGTCGCGTCGAAGCGACAGATAGGGCGACGAGAGAGCGACGGACGACGACAAATCCGCGACTGTCGACGGCGAAAAAGGAACAGTAGCTGATGAGAGAGCGACAGTGAACGGCGATAACGATAAAAACCGGATCGCGGTGGCGGAGAACCGCGAAATGCAGCGGTGCGAGGAGCAGCAGAAGTGGTTGGCGGGGGCAAGCACGGGCGCAGAGGCGGGGCTTCCAGCCGCGACAGCGGCGGAGGCTGCACGTCGCTACGAGCAGCACAGGCCGGAGCAGCGGCAGCGCGAAGAGGCGGTGGAAGCCTGGATCAATTCCCCGCCACCGCCGCCACTCCCGCTGCGCGCGCGCCTCTATCGCCGCCTCCGCGAAAGTGCGCGGATATTTGCGCGCCAGTGGGAGGGGCAACGCAGATGGGGGCAGGAGTGAGGGGCGGCTGTGCAGGGGGGGAAGGGGAGGCGGAGCAGGGAGGGGAGGCGCAGGGAGGGGAGGGGAAAAGGGGGATGCGGGCGCGTGTGGTTTGAGTTTGGCAGACGCGAGGCGAGGGAGCAGGCGGAACAGGGGGCGGAGCAGGAGAGCAGAGGTGGGGCAGGCGGAGAGGTGAGGAAAGGCGGGAGAGGGGGAAGTAGGAAAATCATGCGCCAGAAGCGAGAGGGGGGGGGACGAGGGGGGGTGGGCTGGGGCTCGAGGGAGGGCCAGCGGGGAAGGGCGAGTTTGCGTAAATCTAGCGACATGGGAGAGCATAGGTGTGAGGTGGGGGAAGGACAGGCAGACACCAAAGCTTAAGCAAGTGAGCCGGTGTGGGGAAGAGGGACCTATGGCTATGGTGGGTGGGAGGAAAGGAGGAGGTGGGAGGTGTGGCGATGGTGGGAGGAATGGAGGAGGCATGGGATGCGTGGAGCATGAGAGGCGTGCAGGAATGTGTGCTGGCTCAGCGGTGGTGGTGGGAGAGGCGAGGGGGGAGTGAGAGGAGGATGGGATGGAGGGGAGATGGGGAGAGAGAAGGGCAGCAGGCTAGATGACGGAGGCGAGGGAGAATGGGATGGAGTGCAGGGGGGGAATGGGAGGGGGGGGGGGGGTGGCAGAAGCGGAGTGCAAGGGAGGGGCGAGGTGGATGGAAGGCAGGTGGGTGGGGAACGAATGGGCATACGAAGGCAAGAGAGGGGGAAGGGAGGAGAGAAGGGAAGGGAGGAGAGAAGGGAAGGGAGGAGAGAAGGGAAGGGAGGAGAGAAGGGAAGGGAGGAGCAGCGAGGGGAGGAAAAAAGGGGAGAAGTGAAGGGAGGGGAGCGGAAGGAAGAGGAGGAGGAGAGCTGGGAAGAGAAAGAGGCGGGGGGGGGGGGGAGAAGAGATGGCAACAAGGCAGCGAGGTGAAGAGACAAACTCAGCCGACCACTTAGTGAAGGATGGGAGGGCGGGAGGAGTGGCAGAAGCGGACTAGGATGGGAGAGAAAGGATGGGAATGGATGTGAGAGTGAGGGGGAGGTGGATGGGAGGCAGGTGGGTGGGGAACGAGTGGGCATGCGAAGGCAAGGGGGGGGGAAGGGAGGAGAGGAGGGAGGGGAGGAACAGGGGGGGGAAGTGAAGGAAGGGGAGCGGAAGGAAGAGAAGGAGAAGAGTGGAGAAGGTGACGAGCTCCCCGAGGGCCTTCCCCTCACCCACGAGGGGGTCCGCGTGTTGGGAAGCCCTGTGGGGTCACAGAGCTTCTGCTCTGACCTCGTCCGCAGTACCCTGACAGACGCGGCGGCACCCCTGGGCTCCTTAGCGTCCATCCACCCGCAACATACCCTCCTGCTATTGTCTCGCTGCGTCAGCCGCAGAATCGGCTACCTGCTGCGCGCCACCCCAGCAGACGTCTTGCCTCTCTCGGAATGGCACGCATGGTGCTCTGAACTGCTCAACACCGCGTTGACTGCCGCCAGCATTCATCCACCCCGCCGTGAAGCCGAGTTCAATTTCCTCCTCCGTCAAGCAACCCTCCCAGTAGCCCTAGGCGGACTGGGCCTCACGGACCCCACAACAGAAGCAGCACCAGCCTACCTGGCTTCGACAACAAAGGCGCTACGCCTGCTCCGATCCCTTGACCTCCTAGCAACCGCGGCGCTAGGGGGCAACAGCAACGCCCTGCAGCCGTCAGCAGCGCACTCGGTCACCATCCAAGACATGGAGGGACGACTGCCACCGCTGGCGCTGCAAAACCTCCGCGAGGAGCAGCAAACCCCGTCCCAAGACCAGCTGCAGCGCGCCCTCTCTCAGGAAGTGCACGCGGCAAAGGCCGACGCCCTGACCGAAGAGTCATGAACAATTCGGTCAGCCCCCGAGATGGGCCACACGCTCCGCCTTGTCAGCCTGAGAGGCGAGGGAGCGGGAGCGTGGCTGCAGGCCTTACCCCTGACTCGTGGCTGCAGGCCTTACCCCTGACTCGTGGCTGCAGGCCTTACCCCTGACTCGTGGCTGCAGGCCTTACCCCTGACTCGTGGCTGCAGGCCTTACCCCTGACTCGTGGCTGCAGGCCTTACCCCTGACTCCAGACCTTTGCTTTTCATGCCAATTCCGAACAGCCATGGCCTTCCGGATGGGCATCCGACAGAATGTACCCACCGTGTGCGAGTGTGGAGAGCTCGTAGCCGACTGCAGCCTACCCAACCATCTACTCCGCTGCAGCACAGGCCCCGACAGAACACGCACACACAACCAGCTGGCCTTCGCCGTGGCAAAAATGGCGAGGGACGCGCAGCTGGTGGTATACCTGGAGAATGCAATGTACTCACCGCCAGATGACCCGAAGAAAGCCGATGTGATTGTACACGACCCAGACAGTGGAGAGACCTGGATCACAGACACGACTATCACTGACCCTGTGCTACAGAACCGAGACCTCGCAGCCTGCAAAACTCCAGGCTGGGCTGCAAGGGAGGCACAGAAACGGAAGGAAAGGGATTACTACTGGCACACAGAACACGTGGTGTTCTGCGCCCTGGCCGTCGAGACCTACGAGGCAAACGCGCCCCCCACGACGGCGTTCCTGAAGCTGCTGGCCACAGCAGCAGCTAGGAACCGTTTCAGGGCCAACCCCTTGGCGAAATCCGCCAAGAAGATGGCCTGCCAATTCAGCCAGCGCTGGGCAGTGGCCCTCCAGCGCTCCCAGGCGAATGCCCTGCACACCAAGGCCAGGGCGGGGATTGAGGCAGCGCACCCCCAGATAGCAGCTGACCCATGGCCGCTGCACCTAGGGAACATCCTCCACATGCTGGAGCGGTAGAGGGGCACTAAGGGGGGGGAGAGGATCAGAGGGATGGGTTCATGGGTCGCAAGGTCTAAGGGAACCCCCTGCTGAATCCATACAAAGGACCATTTGAGAAGAGAAAGCGGCGGGGGGGGAGAAGAGGCAAACTCAGCCGACCACTTAGTGGAGGCATGCAGCAGGTGAGGCATGCAGCAGGTGAGGCATGCAGCAGGTGAGGCATGCAGCAGGTGAGGCATGCAGCAGGTGAGGCGAGGAGTTTTGAGAGTTTACATAGTCTTGAGGGCGGGGGGAGGATGGGAGGGCGGGGTTTACATAGTCTTGAGGCAGAATAAAAGGCGAATTCAATTGACAGCATACAGTGGCGTGGAACAAGTCACTTGCTATTGTTCACTCGCCACCAAAGTCCACTGAACACCACTGAGCGCCACTGAGGGGGGTGCGGAGTGGGGAAGGGGAAGGGGAAGGGGGGGTGCTGGCGCGTGTGGCTTGGGTTTGGCGGAAACTAGGCAAGGGGCGGGAGACGCGGGAGTAAGGGGCGGAGCAGGATGGGGGAGAGGTCAGACGGGGCAGGCTCAGGGGCGGGGACGGGCGGGAGAGAGGGAAGGGGCGAGATTTTGCTCCAAGGGCTCCAAGAGGGGCCAGGCGAGTGGGGGAGGGTAGAGGGGCACGAGTGGGGGAGCGGGGGAAACCACGGAGAGGGGGAGGGGGGGCTGGTGCGGGTGAATAGGGCAACGTGGGAGAGAATTGGTGTGAGGCGGGGGAAGGAGATGCAGATTCCGAAGCAGAAGCGAGTGAGGCGCATGAAACGCATGGTGGTGCTGGCACAACGGTGGGGTTGGGAGAGCCGAAGGGAGAGCGGAGGGAGGGGGCAGAGGAGAGAGAGCCGAGGAGGGAATCGGAGGAAAGAGATGCGAGAGGGGGGAAGGCGGGGGGGGGGGTGGTCGGAGGACATGGGAGTTGCGAGGGAGGGGGAGCAGGGAGGAGAGAGGAGAGTGAAGGAGCGAGAGGTGGATGGGAGACGATTGCGTAGGCGAGGGAGAAGAACCCGAGGAGAAAAGGGACGAGGGAAGGCTTAAGTGACAAGGGGAGAAAAATGGAGAAGAGAAGGGAGGTGAGGGGAAGGAATGGGAGGAGAAGGGAGGGGAGAAATGGGGAGAGGAGGAGAAGGAAGGGGAGGAGAATAGAGGGCAAGACTGCAGCGCAGTGGAAGGGCTAACTCAGTGAATCATTCAAAACCATTCAAAACCATTCAAAACCATTCAACACCATTCAACACCATTCAACACCATTCAACACCATTCAAAACCATTCAACACCATTCAAAACCACTCAACACCATTCAACACCATTCAACACTGCCGAACACTTTGGTGGCCACACAGGGCTCAACCCCCTCCACTCTCTCCCACGTCTCCCTGCTGTCTTTCACTCTCTCCCCCTTCTGCCCCCCGGCCCCCCACCCCCAGGTACGTCAGCGGAGCTGCTGCGATTCCAAGTCAGGGCTTTCAACGTGAGCCCCTTTCATAGTGAGTCGCCCTGTATGTGAGTGGTCAACCTGTAGGTAAGCCCTGGCAAGGCCGTGCAATCATGTCAACTCCACCAGAATGAGCCTCATTATCCACCTCACCTCAGGCTGGGCCGTTTGGCCTTGAGTTGACACACCACCAGGTCCGGGGCTCCATCGCACCCTGCCAGTCGCTGTCAAGGTGAGCTCAGATTTTCCTACCTTAGATAATCTCTCTATCAGTGTCTTGGCGTCACAATTCCCTTGCAGTCGCTGCTACGCTGCGGTTGCTTCAGGGGCATATCCCCACTCACCCGTTCCCCCTCCCATTCCCCTTCCCTTCCCGAATGGGAGAAGACAGTGATAAGGCTTGCAGGGGTTTAAGGAGGTACCTCCTTCCCCCTTATCATCCCCCCTTTCCCCTCCCCATCCCCCCTCGAACTCCCCATCCCCCCAATCCCCGTGTTATCTCGTCCGCCCAATCCCCCGCCCCTCACGCCCTCTGCCCTTACCCTCGCCCTCCACGTCGCCCCTCCTCCCCCCACACCCCCCTTCTTTTTCTCCGCCCTGCACCCCTCACTTCTCCCTTTTCTCAGGTGAGTGCAGGCTAAGGTGAGTGCCGGCTAAGGTGAGTGCCGGCTAAGGTGAGTGCCGGCTAAGGTGAGTGCCGGCTAAGGTGAGTGCCGGCTAAGGTGAGTGCCGGCTAAGGTGAGTGCCGGCTAAGGTGAGTGCCGGCTAAGGTGAGTGCCGGCTAAGGTTAGTGCCGGCTAAGGTGAGTGCCGACTAAGGTGAGTGCCGGCTAAGGTGAGTGCCGGCTAAGGTGAGTGCCGGCTAAGATGAGTGCCGGCTAAGGTGAGTGCCGGCTAAGGTGAGTGCCGGCTAAGGTGAGGTGAGTGTCGGCTAAGGTGAGTGCCGGCTAAGGTGAGTGCCGGCTAAGGTGAGTGCCGGCTAAGGTGAGTGCCGGCTAAGGTGAGTGCCGGCTAAGGTGAGTGCTGGCTAAGGTGAGTGCCGGCTAAGGTGAGTGCTGGCTAAGGTGAGTGCCGGCTAAGGTGAGTGCCGGCTAAGGTGAGTGCCGGCTAAGGTGAGTGCCGGCTAAGGTGAGTGCCGGCTAAGGTGAGTGCCGGCTAAGGTGAGTGCCGGCTAAGGTGAGTGCTGGCTAAGGTGAGTGCCGGCTAAGGTGAGTGCCGGCTAAGGTGAGTGCCGGCTAAGGTGAGTGCCGGCTAAGGTGAGTGCCGGCTAAGGTGAGTGCCGGCTAAGGTGAGTGCCGGCTAAGGTGAGTGCTGGCTAAGGTGAGTGCCGGCTAAGGTGAGTGCTGGCTAAGGTGAGTGCCGGCTAAGGTGAGTGCCGGCTAAGGTGAGTGCCGGCTAAGGTGAGTGCCGGCTAAGGTGAGTGCCGGCTAAGGTGAGTGCCGGCTAAGGTGAGTGCCGGCTAAGGTGAGTGCTGGCTAAGGTGAGTGCCGGCTAAGGTGAGTGCCGGCTAAGGTGAGTGCCGGCTAAGGTGAGTGCCGGCTAAGGTGAGTGCCGGCTAAGGTGAGTGCCGGCTAAGGTGAGTGCCGGCTAAGGTGAGTGCCGGCTAAGGTGAGTGCCGGCTAAGGTGAGTGCCGGCTAAGGTGAGTGCCGGCTAAGGTTAGTGCCGGCTAAGGTGAGTGCCGACTAAGGTGAGTGCCGGCTAAGGTGAGTGCCGGCTAAGGTGAGTGCCGGCTAAGATGAGTGCCGGCTAAGGTGAGTGCCGGCTAAGGTGAGTGCCGGCTAAGGTGAGTGCCGGCTAAGGTGAGTACCGGCTAAGGTGAGTGCCGGCTAAGGTGAGTGCCGGCTAAGGTGAGTGCCGGCTAAGGTGAGTGCTGGCTAAGGTGAGTGCCGGCTAAGGTGAGTGCCGGCTAAGGTGAGTGCCGGCTAAGGTGAGTGCCGGCTAAGGTGAGTGCCGGCTAAGGTGAGTGCTGGCTAAGGTGAGTGCCGGCTAAGGTGAGTGCTGGCTAAGGTGAGTGCCGGCTAAGGTGAGTGCCGGCTAAGGTGAGTGCCGGCTAAGGTGAGTGCCGGCTAAGGTGAGTGCCGGCTAAGGTGAGTGCCGGCTAAGGTGAGTGCCGGCTAAGGTGAGTGCCGGCTAAGGTGAGTGCCGGCTAAGGTGAGTGCCGGCTAAGGTGAGTGCCGGCTAAGGTGAGTGCCGGCTAAGGTGAGTGCCGGCTAAGGTGAGTGCCGGCTAAGGTGAGTGCCGGCTAAGGTGAGTGCCGGCTAAGGTGAGTGCCGGCTAAGGTGAGTGCCGGCTAAGGTGAGTGCCGGCTAAGGTGAGTGCCGGCTAAGGTGAGTGCCGGCTAAGGTGAGTGCCGGCTAAGGTGAGTGCCGGCTAAGGTGAGTGCCGGCTAAGGTGAGTGCCGGCTAAGGTGAGTGCCGGCTAAGGTGAGTGCCGGCTAAGGTGAGTGCCGGCTAAGGTGAGTGCCGGCTAAGGTGAGTGCCGGCTAAGGTGAGTGCCGGCTAAGGTGAGTGCCGGCTAAGGTGAGTGCCGGCTAAGGTGAGTGCCGGCTAAGGTGAGTGCCGGCTAAGGTGAGTGCCGGCTAAGGTGAGTGCCGGCTAAGGTGAGTGCCGGCTAAGGTGAGTGCCGGCTAAGGTGAGTGCCGGCTAAGGTGAGTGCCGGCTAAGGTGAGTGCCGGCTAAGGTGAGTGCCGGCTAAGGTGAGTGCCGGCTAAGGTGAGTGCCGGCTAAGGTGAGTGCCGGCTAAGGTGAGTGCAGGCTAAGGTGAGTGCCGACTGTGGGCTGTTCTTGCACTGCACTGGCCTCACTCTCTCCTCTCCTCTTTCCCTTTCCCTGAACTCATCTACACCTCATGTCTTCTGCTTGCATCCCTGCGCTGCAGTGCCCTGCACTCACTCGTCCTCACCTCCTTTCCCGTTCCCTGTATTGCCCTCGCTCTCTCCTTGTCCCTTATGGTATCCATGCCTCCCTTTTCGGGCGCTAAACTGCCCGATGAGGGAGTGAACTGCTGCATGAGTTCCACAGCCTTTCTGGACGGTGACAGGGCTGTGCTTGCACTGGTCAACAATTGGGATGCACAGGCTGTGCTTGCACTGGTCAACAATTGGGATGCACAGGCTGTGCTTGCACTGGTCAACAATTGGGATGCACAGGCTGTGCTTGCACTGGTCAACAATTGGGATGCACAGGCTGTGCTTGCGCTGGTCAACAATTGGGATGCACAGGCTGTGCTTGCACTGGTCAACAATTGGGATGCACAGGCTGTGCTTGCACTGGTCAACAATTGGGATGCACAGGCTGTGCTTGCACTGGTCAACAATTGGGATGCACAGGCTGTGCTTGCACTGGTCAACAATTGGGATGCGCAGGCTGTGCTTGCACTGGTCAACGATTGGGATGCACAGGCTGTGCTTGCACCTAAATGCTCATCGTCTCCTCGCCTCTCGCACTTTTCCCATGCCTCCAGGCTTCAAATCTCCCGTGCTGTCGGGTGAGTGCCGTGGCTATTCTGGACAACAATTGGGATGCACAGGCTGCTGACGGAAGGCATGAGAAAGTTGGTGCTTTGGGCAGGAATCCCCTTCCACGCATAGATGGCAGCTGCTGGGATGCACAGCTGCTGGGATGCACAGCTGCTGGGATGCACAGCTGCTGGGATGCACAGCTGCTGGGATGCACAGCTGCTGGGATGCACAGCTGCTGGGATGCACAGCTGCTGGGATGCACAGCTGCTGGGATGCACAGCTGCTGGGATGCACAGCTGCTGGGATGCACAGCTGCTGGGATGCACAGCTGCTGGGATGCACAGCTGCTGGGATGCACGGCTGCTGGGATGCACAGCTGCTGGGATGCACAGCTGCTGGGATGCACAGCTGCTGGGATGCACAGCTGCTGGGATGCACAGCTGCTGGGATGCACAGCTGCTGGGATGCACAGCTGCTGGGATGCACATCCTGCTGTGTAGCGGTCTGGCAGAGGCAGGCAGTTATGGCAGGAGGGGGAGGCAGAGCTGGGGAGAGAGCTGTAGCACAAGCGGCAGACGGAGCGTGCTTGCATTGGCCTGTCTCCCTCCTTGTGCTCACCTCCTGCCTCTCGCCCATCTCCGTCGCACTCATTTGGTGTGGTGAGGGGTCTCAAAGACACCCACAGAGCATGCAGCCTGATGAGAAGCGTTCTGGCAGTGGCTGTGACAGCAGCAAGCGGTGGGGGAAGAGGCAGTAGGTAATGGAGGGAAGTGATGTGCATGAGGGAGGGCGAGGAGATGGCACGTGATTGCAGGGGGCAACTTGATATGATGAGGCAGTTTTTAGAGTGATGCTGTGCAGAGCGTTCTTGATGGTGCATGCGGTTATCATGATTGCAGGGGCTTAATGCACCGTGATGCGGTGCAGAGCGGTGTTGATGGTGCGCGTGTCGGGGCATAGGGGTTTGTGGAGGCACATGGATTTGGAGATGATGGGCACAGAGAGGGTAGATGGATGGGGGCAGAGAAGGGCATTCTGCCTCCCATCTCTCAGTGTGTTTAACTGCTCCCCCCCCCCCCCCCCCCCCCCCCCCCAACAGGAAGAACGGCCTTCGAGCCCTCGTTCGCCCTTTCCTCCGTCAATTTCCCCCCTGGTCTGGTCTGAAGCTCTCTTGATCCTCTTCCTCACTTCATCTCACTACCATGTCCTTCGTACTTGCAAGCTTCCCAATCATCTCTGCTGTTTCCTCCTTTCTCCGGCTCTGTTCAAGTGTTCCTGTCATCGCATTGCTCATAATGTACAAGTGTTGGGATGAAAGCATCCGTTCCACCGGACGGTACTTCAGTGCAGAGAACTCACTGATATCGCTGCCACACTCCCACAACCAACACACTCCTCCCACCACCATCTCGCTCCCACCACCACCTTTGCTATGCAGGAACGACGGAAGTGTTTTGGCAACAAGCGCCCTCTTTCTCCCATCGGCTCTCTCACTCCTACAGCCCTCTCACTCCCACCACCATCTCTGCCATGCTGGAAACGAAGCCTGGTGGGGAAGCAAGAGGTCGAGGCAGCCTGGCAGGCTGCAGCCAAGACTTACTACGGTCAAATGCGGAGTCATGCGGGAGAGTATCACCAACAACTCAATGAGGGCAGTTTGGGTTGTATTGCGCTGAGCGCCCATCCGTTCATAAATTGTTACAAAAGTATTAATAAATTATGTAATTACCGTATACTGCAGTGGTTAGTTTTGGACGTGTTTTAGCGCGTGAAAATCTACCCATGATGGTTGAACTTGGAGAGGGAGCTTGTGGCATTTGTGTAGAAATAAGATAAAGTTATTTCAGAACTTCATTCTGTCAAGTTTGTGTAAGAATTATGAGATCAACTGTAGGGTAACAATAGCTTTTATCTTCCGACGAGTTCGCGTCAGCTGGTTCGGACAGCATCCGCGCTCCAAACCAGTTCCGAGTCGCCACCGCACCTCGGAGCCTCGTTTCTCTGCGGATCTCGCCTAGCTCGGCTCTGCCAATTTATTCGTCATTTTAGACATCCCTAGGGCATTCAGTTCTGTAGTTTTCAGGTTTGCAAAACCGCGGCTCATAACAATTTGTTTCTCAATCGCTGCAGACCAAGTCACATCCCTTGAAGTAGCGGAGATTGTGTCCAGCAGGGATATGCCAAACACGGGCCGCGTGCTAGATTCTGTCGGAAACCTTAGGAGCGCCTAGCGGCGCAAACGCTACTGCGTCAGAGCGACAGACAGGCGAGGCAGGCGCGACGTACGGCGACGAGAGAGCGACTGACTGCTACGAGAGAACGACGGACCGCGACAAGAGATCGCTGCGACAAGAGAGCGACAGACTGCGACCAGAGAGTGACGGACTGCGACGAGAGAGCGACCGTCGACGGCGGGGAAATGCAGTAGATAACGGACACTAACCGACAAAAACCTTTCGCAAAGGCGTAGAGCCGTCGCAGCAGATGCGCGAGGAGAAGAGGCAATGGCGGGTGGATCAAGCACGCGCGCAGGGGAGGCTCCCAACCGCAGTGTCGTTGCGAGCAGCACAGCCCGAAGGCGGCGGCGCGAAGAGGCGGTGGAATCCCGCGCCGGTCGCGATCCGCCTGGATCACTTCTCAACTGCCGCCATCCCCGATGCACTCTCACCTCTGCCGCCGCCTCCTCGAGAGTCCGCGGCAGTAGGTTTGTGCACCGTGCAGAGCAGCAGGATGGGGAGCGCTGATGGGGGCAGCAGTGACGGGCGATCGCGCCGCAGAGCGGGAAGCGGGAAGTTAGGATGCGGGCGTGCGTGCGTGGGTTGGGTTTGGCGGAGACGAGGCGAGGGGTGCGAGAAGGGGGAGCAGGAGGCAAAGCAGGAGGGCGGGGGACGGGAGAAGGGCGGGAGAGAGGAAAGCTGGGAGAGCGCGTGCCTGGGGCTCGAGGGGTGGCGCGATTGGGGGAACAAAGTGGGCCGCATGGGAGAGGGCGGGTGCAGGTGAATGCGGCAAAGTGGGAGAGCATGGGTGTGAAACGGGGGAAGGAGAGGCGGACACCGAAGCAGAAGCGAGTGAGCCGCTTGAAACGCACGGTGGTGCTGTGAGACAGGCTCGCGAGCAAAATCGAGGGCGGCAGCGCGAGTGCGTGGGCAGCAGCGCGAGTGGGGGATAAGGGGGAGATGGGGGAGGGGTGGATGGGAGAGGAGGAAGGGGGTGCATAGGGAGACGGGGACCTCAGGGTAAAGGACGTATGGGAGCAGGGAGCTATAAGGCGGCACATCCCCCCCATCCCCCTCTCCCTCCCCATACCCCCCGCAACGACGCATGGGAGCAGGGAGCTATGAGACGGCGCATGCTAGCAGGGTTGAAGGAGGTGGGGCAGGCGGGCAGGGCTCAAGGAAACATTGATCTTTTCCGCATGCAGGGTGCGATGCGGCGGCAGGTGCTGGCAGTGCTGAAGGGGGGCAAGCAATGCATCCTCATCCCATCCCCACATGATGGTGCTGCTGTGATCCACAAATGCATGGTGAAAGGGGATGGCAGAGGGCAGACGGTGAGCAGCCGGGAGAATCAAGTGTGTGGTGCTGGGAGGGCCGTGTGTGGGAGAGGACGGTGGAAGGTAGATAATGTTTTGAATTCTCAAACATTGTTTCTCCCCACGGTACGCATTTCTTGGAATTTTTAGACCTTACTGAAGTTCTGTCATCGCGTACGCAGCATTCATCATTCAAACCACCCCTAACCACCAGTCCCAACCCCCACTTCCGTGTCCGCCCTGTCTCCCTGGCGGTCGCACTCTCGCCCATTCTTGCAGGCAACTGCACGCAAGTTTTCCGTGCACCCACCCCACCCTTCCTTCCACCCTCTCGCCTCCCCCCCCTCCTCTCACCCCCACGGCACCTTCCCCAAGGCGCTCTTGACGCAGCCCTCCTCACATCCATTCTAGCAGGTGCTGCATCGCTGTGCATGCAGCCGTGATACAAGGCGAGTGCAGGTGCAGGTGGAATGGTGGTTGACTGTGGTGAGTACTGGCAGAGTGGGGGGGAAACGGCTGTGACAAGATGGGTTCTTCTTGCAGTGAGGACTGAGGGGCTGGTCAAGGTCACCAGGCGGATAGAGGGAAAAGGGGTGAGGGGAACTGAAAATCGCGAGTGTAGATGCCATTTCTTTCAAGTAATTTTGCGTTGGCTTAAAGGTATGTTTGTTATTGATCCTGGTTCCTATCAAGTATTGACTCAAACTCAAATGTGGGGAGTATGCAGTTGCAGCGAAGAAGCACACTCCCACATACTCCCCACATTTAAGGTCGAGGCCACATTTAAGCAAAACGATGAGGTGGAATCTGAAGTGGAAGGTTGTGGCTGCCTTGCAGTTGCTCTTTCTTGTGCAAGGCACAAATCAGTTGGCCCCACCTTCAAGACTGCTTTGCACGACAGTAGTGACTCGCTAGCAGCAAAATCCTTCTCCCCACGTGACCCGCCCACATTCATGCATATCCCCCCTTGGCGCACAATGCTCTGGAGGCAGAGAGGGGAAGAGGGAAGAGGTGCAGGCGGGGCAGGAAGGGTTGGAGGGGCAGGGAGGGCAGGAGGGGAAGGAAGAGCCAGAGGGGTAGGGAGCAGCGGGTACGTGAGTGGTGGGACGCGACTGTGGCAGGAGGGGCAGGTGGAACGGGAGGCAAGTGGTGTGTGAGTGGTGGGGAGGAGGGGAATAAACGGACAGATGGATGCTCAGGAAGGGCCGGGCCGGGTTGTGAGGTGTGCTTGCATTGCCCTCACCACACACCGATGGGGTGCTCAGCCTCCTGAGGAAGCAGAGCAAGGGAGACAGCTGTAACAGCAGGGGTAGGTGGAGCGTGCTCACCTCATGCCTCTCGCCCATCTCCCACACACTCACAAGGCAGCCTGCTGAGGACTGTTATGACAGAGGCAGTCATGGCCGGAGGGGGTGACGCAGTAGGCAGTATGGATAGAGGGAATGGGCATGAGAGAGGGGGAAGAGAATATTGGAGAGTGATTGGAGGGGCCAAGTGATTGATGAGGACAGAGGGGGGCAGATGGATGGGGAGGGGGGAGAGGAAGGCAGCGCATCCCCACACAGGCTGAGCGAGATAGAAGAAGATGAAGAATGAAGGGAGAAGCAGCAGTTAGGTACAAAGGAGATGCGAGGCGCAAGGGGCCAGGCGCAAGAGGGGGTTTGGGAGGAGGAGGGGGGGCAACCACTGCCCAACCACCCTCCCTTCTGTCAGCCACAGAGGGGGGTGTAACAGACGGCACTCTGGATCGTGCCGTCTGGATCATGCCGTTCAGACACCTCTGGTGTGGGGGGAAGGGTTTTGGGGGGAAGGGGGAGGCGGTCATTCGGGTTGAAATAGGCGATACATGCATCAGTCCAACCCGTTGGTACTGCCATGCCGAGAACTCAAACCACCCCATTCTAAACCATCTCACTCTCACCGCAACTCTCCCACCACCATCCCACTCCCACCACCATCCCACTCCCACCATCATCTCACTCCCACTCTTCCCTCATGAAGCCAGGCTGCAGGCAATCAGGCCCCTAGATTCGTTTTGAGGTAGTCTGACGCCTCAGAGTACACCCCTCTTCCTAGTCTGGCTGTCAGAGTTACCTATTTTTTTTAGTCTGAAAATTCAGACAAGCACAACTTTTTTTGTCTGAACTGTCAGAGTTACTTCAATTTTTAAGATGTTCATGCAGTTTCATACAGCATAGTTATAATAGCATTGAAGCTGATTACAGCATACCAGCGCAATTGTGCGGCCAAAAATGGGGCACTCTGATTGGTAATTTTTCAAGAGTTAGGAACACTGAGCAGTCAGGGTCGAGGTGTGGGCATCAGACAATGGCCTCGTGCAAGTGCCAAGTGTGGCAAGCTCACAATCAGCTGACCTGGCAGCAGGCATGGTACCGTATTCTCCTGGACATAACACCCTAGGGTATAGCTAAAAATACAGGGAAAAAATGGGGGTCCTCTTCATAGGAAAAAAATACATAATACTCGGGTCTTTACATATGGCATATTTTAGTGTTAGAGTTTTTTTAATTAGTCAATGTGGGTGTTTTGCTGGTAGTTTTAGCATCACTGCCTGAGGCGCAAATGTGAGTTTCGGCCTCGAACTTCATCGCCCTCACGAAAATGCCATGTGGCACCTCTCTTGCCACTTGCAACGGAAGATTCATCTGCACGTGGCAACAAAAAAATAGTGGGAGGGGGCTGAGAGAATTGAAACGAGAATGAGTGCACTAAGGAATGGAATGTGGTACAAAAGTGCTGTTGGAAACAATAAGTCCTAAGTGCGCTTCTGTCGTATCAAAATCCAAGGTACCAAGCGAAGCAGTCCCAATCGAAGCATCGAGTCAACCTCGGAGGTTAGGGTAACCGCCTGGAGGTTACGAGAAAGTCAAAGGTCGCTGACCTTTGACTCGACAATTACAGCGCGACAGTTAAGGACACACAACTGACTCGTTACAGAGCAGTTGCCCGAGTCGCGCTATATCGAACCGCAACAGCAATACAGTTATCTATTCCCTGTACTCTTATATAAATCCTTGTATTTGCTTGTTTAATTCAATCAACTTTGCTCTCACACACCAGTGCAAGGTCGGTTCAAATTCTTCACTAAACGCTTCCGCTATTACAACTACTTCACCTAGAGTTATCCCTTGCAAAGATCCTAAGGGGCTATCTCAGCCCAACAAGTGCAACCCTAGAAATGTGTACCCCATATAGGCTACCCCACTACAGCCTACAGAACATTATAATTTGACACACCCCCATAGGCTAAGTGGGGGAGAACAAGGGGTCACAAGACCAGTCAAGCAGAACAAAGCAAAGCTCAGGGTGGATCACTAAGTCACCACACATTCCGAGCACAAGTTCAAGGCCAGAAGGCCAGTTCACATGCAGGAGCACACATATATATATGAAAGGCTAAACAAGCAAGTGCAGGAGTATACATATGTGACAGTACAAGCAAGGTCAAGAAGTGAGCAAGTGAGGCAAGGCACGCACAAGACCAAGCTGAGTATAGAAGCAATGATGATCACAAGGCGCAAGTGCCTTAGTGAAGATATCAGCAGTGTTGGCCTCAGAGGCCACGTACGCAAGTCGCTACTGACCACGCTGCTGCAGCTCACGAGCAAGAAAGTAGCGGAGAGCAATGTGCTTCGTTCTGTGCTCCAGGCGCTGCTCCCGACACAAGGCCAGCATGGCCTTGTTGTCTACGTACAGCACTGGAGGAGAACGAGGCGGCTCTCCGAGGTCAGTCAGCAGGTAGGTGAGCCAGCGAAGCTCCTGTGCAGCCATGGCTCCTGCGAAGATCTTAGCCTCACAACTGGAGCCGAGAACGGAAGACGAGCGAGTAGCCCTCCAAGAAACAGAGCCAGAACCAAGGCTGAAGGTGTAACCCTGTGACGACCGCTGTGTAGCCTGGTCGTCAGCCCAAGAAGCGTCTGCGTGCCCAGTGAGGACCACTGGACTCTGCCCTCCAAGCACTAGCCCCATGCCTGACGTACTGCACAAGTAGCGCAACACCCTCTTCGCTGCAGCCATGTGCTCCGCTCTGTGTCTCCCAGGAGCAACATAGCGTGCAAGAATGATAAGAGGGTATGCAAGGTCAGGTCGAGTGCAGGTCATCAGGTACATGAGGCAGCCAACAAGCTCTGGGTACGGGCCACTCGACTCTACGGACTCATCCGAAGGCAGAGCTGAGAGCGAGTGGCGAGTAGACAGAGGAGTGGCTTGAGGCAAGGAGTACGTGAAGCCGAAGCGCTGAAGGACCTGCTGCACCATGTGTGACTGAGTCAGGGTAATGGTGCGGCGTGCTCTGTCCCGGGTGATCTGCAAGCCAAGGTAGCTGCGCAGTTCACCCAGGTCTGTGCACGTGTGTCTCTTCTGCAGCTCGGACTTCACGTTGGCGAGTCCAACAGTGTAAGCATTGGCAAAGACCAAGTCTTCGACGTACACGAGGATGTAGAACGGCGGCAAAAAGGTGTCGGTGCGCAGAAACAGTGACGGGTCGGCAGTAGAATGAGCAAACCTTAGAGCCGCAATTGTAGTCCTCAGTGTGTCGTGCCACTCACGGGGCGCCTTGCGGAGACCGTAGACTGGCCGCCGGAAGCTCCACTGGGTAGAAGAAGGAAACGACCCAGTGAAGCCAGGTGGGCGGCGCAGCCAGATCTCCTCATGTAGGCTGCCCTGCAAGAAAGCAGTGCTGAAGTCAAGAGAGTGAAGCTCGTAGTCGCGCTGAGCGGCTATGTGCAGCAGCACCCGAAGAGTGGTCATCTTCAGGGTGGGAGAGAAGGTCTAAAACTAGTCAACTCCCTGCCGCTGTCTGAAGCCTCGAGCCACATAACGTGCCTTGAAGACAGGCGGAGAACCCGGCGGCCGCTTCACCCTGAAAATCCGCATGCCACTGACGATGTTCGCCCCAGGTGGGGGAACCGCGTCAACGTAGGTGCCTGTGGACTTCCAGGAAGCCATCTCTGCATCCATAGCTGCCTGCCACTGAGAGGAGTAGGGACCCTCTACGGCCTCCGCGTAAGAGCGTGGAGTCGGGATGTCAAGTGCATCCGGGTCTCCCTCAGGGGTAAGCAGTACGGACACGAGATGATGTGAAGCAGCAGCCAGACACTGGAACTCCTCCTAACTGTCCTCAAGGACGTCCGTGCCAAGGGCACACTCACCCCCGACAGACGGAGGACAGACAGACTCAGACTGAGCGACAAGACTAGCAGCATAGTCTAGACGACAGCGAGCAGCAAAGTCGACGAGCTCAGCAACTAGGGCTGACGCGGCAGTGGACTCAAAAGAAGGGTCAGTGTCGACAGTAGCAAGGAGACGCGTGACAGTAGGACTGGCAGCACGAAGAGAGTCCGACTCCGGGTCGGCAAGAGCAGGAAGAGAAGACTCAGGAGGAGAAGGCA